GACTATGACATACAAATAATGGCCCAACTTTTGCTGATATATGAATGTCTTAAATGAACATTTAATTAAATTAAAAGCAGTCCTACTAAAACAGTGCTTTTTTAATATTATGTCTCACCATGATCTGAGCCAGGACAAGCACAATGACATTGGAGGACTTGCTGCTGGAGATGGCGTAGAAAAACTGTGAACAAAACATAAAGTGATACCAAACCAAAACTGCTTTTTATGAGCTTTAAACATCATTAATGCTTCTCAGAAACTGAATTTGGGCAAGACCATGTTGCAGTTGCTCAAGGAAATAATCTCCTCCCTCTACAATGGCTGAACCAACACACCCACGCACATCTTCAGTAATATATGACCATTTCCCCTTAAATGAGAAGACTGAATGAGAAAAAAACATGTTCATCCGTCATTACCTTGGTGAGTGTGATTAAAAGGCCTCGTATTGACGTGACTATGATGATTCCCACCAGGATAAAGGAAATGTGCTGAGACCAGAACTTGACCTGTGGTAAAAACAAAGGATTAAGTTCTGCTGCACATAAACAAGGCTTTATCCATTAGAAGGGGATGAGCAGCATTTGCAATTTCAGTAGTGAGCAAGAATGAAGCCGGACCCAGATTACATATTTAAGAGGCTGAATCATTACCTCCTCATGGGGAAAGATTAAACCGTCATTTAACAGGCTGGGGAACAATTAACTGCCAACCAAAGCAGTAAATGTCAGCTGACACAGCACACACAATCACAGCATGCATATACAACCACAGTCATGAGTTTAAAGAGTAGATTAGAGTAGATACACAACAATTACTTACACGAGTGTGGACTAACTAATGTAATCATTAAAAAAAAAAATCTACTCTCATTAAATAAGTAAACAAACAACTGGTATGGTAATTTATCCTGCTGTGACACCGCAGTACTAACATCTGATCTGTCTACAGTTATATAAATATAGTTATATATATATACATATATATATCCTATTCTATGTATATATTCTATTAGGATTGGGCGATGTCTACCAAATTGGCATCGGACGATGTCTACAGTGAAACATCGTGTTGGACGATGACATTGAGGGGGAGGGGTCGTGTGCCCGAAGCGTGAAACAAATAACTCGTTATAGGAGCCACTAAAAGGTTAGCCGCTTGCTAGCAGTAGCCTGTTGCATTACAGTACATGAAAGTTCACTTACCACATACACAGAGTAAGGAGAAATGTCTGATAGGACGATGGCGAATGATTTGCAGATCCTGAGCACCAATGACACACATCTAATCTTGTCAAATGTGTGGTAAGTACTGCCGCTCCATAGTATAGAGTCCTTGTGATCGCGAATCTCAAAAATGAAAGTTAAAGTAAAATAAGAGAGCGCAATCGAAAGCGGTTTCAATAGCGGCTCCCTGCTGCCTACAATTTATATACAGTCGCCTATACTTACCCATTGATATAATTGCGAGAAAAAGAATTGAAATATTTTTTTTTATCTTCCCATCTCGTAGGCTATTTATTCCCTTTAGGGTTTCCGTAGTACACTTCATTTCCTTTCCGAACACGGAACTGCGATGTGGCGGATTGCGGGGGGGATCACGATGTCAACTTAACATTGTGATGGCTTAACATCGGCCCAACCCTAATTTCTATTTAACGCTGTTTGAACTTTGCAGAAAAATAATATATTAGGACTCACAAGAGTCTAATGGGGAACTTTAAAAGAGATTTAGTTAGCCAAAATGTATAAAGCAGCTTAAGCTGACGATAACATACATCAAACTGAATGCCGAGATAGTTGACTGTGATCTCGATTCCTCTTGTCACTGGGTCAGTCTTCCCCACACGGTCAAACACTATGTTTATAGTGGCCTAAAAAGAATACATTAGAGTATGTCACTGATTAAGACACATTCTTACAATGTTTTATAATACATGGCAAACAAAATGAGCAAAAACAATTCATACCATGAATATTTTCCACACACAGTAGATGGAGAAGAAATACCCTAAGAAGTTGAAGTATTTCCCTTGAAATGTTTTTGAGTACTCTATGCGTTCCTTGGGATACAGAGATATAAGATCATTATAGTGTTTATAATATTTACTTGTATTTATATAAAGGATTTCCACACATTTTGACCAAAGAATTTCCATGACTGTCCTGTGATTACTGGATATTTTAAAGAAAAGAAAAAAGCTACATTAACTACAATTGCTTACTTCCAGGTTTTACATGAGCATGGGATCCCTGTATATAGAAACAAAACTAATTATAATTTCAAAATTTCATTTGTTAAATACCTTGGTGGCTTGCAGGTCGACGGTCTCCAGGAAAAGCTGTCTACTGAGTTCCTCCAGAGCATCCACTTCCTGCTGGATCACAGAAAGATCTGCAGTGCCAGAGTTAAGAAACAAACATCCCTCAGAAGATCCACAAGTCACAGCAATCAAACTTTGAGCCTGTGGTCCTAAACTAGTGCATCACAATCCCCCCC